GAGCTACCTTCAAACATTGTTCTGAGAAATCAAGATCACTAAATCACAGAGTTTCAGTTCTTTTGTCTAAGCCAGAATGCTCTACATGAAGAATAGTTAAATTGTTCATCCTTCGTGACATAGACCTCAGAACTAATCCCATACATAGTAATGGAGTAATCAAATTGAATAAAACTACAACAAGATTAACAACGAGAGAAATTACTTCTACTCTAGTATTTAGACGCAAGCATCCTCTGCAATTGCATATACTACAGCAGAATGGGCATTTCTTGGCAACAATTTCTTCTGCTATACGAGGGTACCTTTAAATCGTAATTAAAACAAGCATTTCAGGCTTCTGGAATAATATTCCAGCACAAAACTATAATAAAAGGCACTAGACCATTAGATCACTAAACCCCGAATAAGCAGAGGAATCTTGTTCTGCTTTTCAAAAGATGAAATTATGCAGGCATCAAAATAGGAAGATGTGGTCAAAAGCTAAACATTTGCCTTGATTATGATGTTCAAAACAATACGAACTTTACAAGAATTAAACCGTCCCTAAGAAAAACTCTAAAACCTCTGTTTGTAACACCCATCACATGAAGTCAATAACAGGAAATCAAGTTTATGGGTAAGAAGAGCATACCAAGTCTGCACCACATGGGATGCAACAAAAAGAATGCGTGATAAAAGTGTTGACTATTCCCTCCTTCATTGCTGTCGTCGAGAAACTGTTGTAAATCATCGCCCAAGTTCAAAAGTCAATCTAACAGATCGAGATACTCTTGTAAACCATCTCCTTCGTTAAGAATCCCAATTTCTAATTCGTAATTCTGTCCAACATCGTCAATCTGATTCTCCCCTTCGATAATATGATTCAGTCCATGATCATCTGCTTCGTTTATCTCTACATGGATATCCTCAACAAAGAGCTCACCTCCTTCGACAATCTGATCCTGTTCTACATTTTGTTCCACGTTATCTTCAAATCCATCATTCACCAGTTGAATACCCTCTCCCTGGATAAGCTGTACAAACTGATTCAGCTCGATATTTTGTTCAAATTCGTTATTCTGTCCATGAAGTCCAAGATTCAGTCCCTCGTCAATCTGATTCTCCCCTTCGATAAAATTATCTTCAAACCCATCATTCACATGTTGAATACCCTGAACAAACTGATTCTGGTCGATATAACAGCTTCGTTAATCTGTAACCCATCATGCACCTGTCCATTCACACCTTCGTTCCAGATTTCCTGCATTAATCTGTGCAATGTTCTGTGCCAGATTTGCTTGCTGCTGTGGCGGTGGTGTATTATTGCGTACAGGATCAAAAAACAAGTGTACCACAACGACACTTTCGAAAGCGGGGATATCTGTGATTCTCTCATACTCGTGCTGAACCCACCCGGTCTGATGATCCCCCTGGTCTACGTAATCGAACGTTTTCATTGTACCGATGTTTATTGTTTTTCCTCGTTTTATCGTGGTGGTTCTCCCAAAGGGCTTCCATTTCCCAATATTAGTGCGAATTCTCCTGTCGGGTAACGAAAACCAGTTGTGACCCGGCATAGAAATCATAGTCGATGATCAATGATCCCTGCAATCCTTCTACATCGTTTGCTGTTCTTGGAACCAGAAACTCGTCAAAGACCTCCTCTTGGGTTGGACAGAAGAAAACACACTTAAACTCAGCCATATTATCTGCATAACATCAGCAACTTTGTCAGAGATATCGAGAAGAAGAAAAGAGTTTGGGAAACAGATATCACCGTTTGTTAGCATCCGATATGTGTATTTCCAAAATTTACAAACAGGAGAAAGAGGGAGAAGTTGTTCCCTAAACTAGCGTATCTGCATAACATCTTAACGAAATTGATATCAAGTCCCTGATATGTCGGGATTCACCTTATCTTCAACAAATCCCTAAAAACTCTAATCGCTAATTGCTTCCATCGATAATCAACAAAGAAAACTAATTGCTTCGGGAAGAAGAAAACAAAACTTAGCCCTAGAAACCACCATATCACCGAGAAATGAAACCCTAGAAACTCACCAGAAAATGAGAAATCGTGTGAACTTCAGTCGTGAAACCACCGTTTGAGCGAACAGAGAGAAAGAACCGCCGCTTAATCTGCAAAAATAGTATACGAATCAACCAGAGAACCCCCTAGAAACTCATCGGCAAAATCACCGAGGAATGAAATCTCACCGGGAAAATTCAGAAATCGCTGAAACTTCAGTTCTTAGAAAACGTAACCGTCTAATCCCAGCGTGAGAGCTATAATCGTCTGCGACGCATACGGTACACTCTCACCAAAACCTCATACGGGGTCGTTTTCTGAGGACTTGGGAGCAAAAACCCCCAAACCAAATTTGTTAAATCCAACACTGAATCAGAATTTATTTTCAAACCGGTTTAGTTTCATTGTTTTGATTTCTGAAATCTAAAACACCGAATCGAAAACATTCTTTTTTTGGTTTAAGCATATCAAACCGAACCGAGTAAACTGAATCTTGGATTTGTTAGTTTTATTTGGTCATTTGCATTAGATAATAAAACAGATTACATGATCACATAACTTTGAGAACCAATCCTAGGCTCCTAGCCTAGAATCCCGACATGGTTCACTACATTTTGTGTAATTATATAGAATCTCCGATGCTTAAGCCATAATTCTTGTTCTATTTGTCAACAAAACGGTAAAGGGTCAATTTTGATTAGCTTTTTGGAATCTTGCTTCTTGTTTCTCCGAATTAATACAAAGTCAAGTTCAATAGTGAGGCAAAATCTTTTACATTTCTTTGAAGCAGAATCTTGGATTTGTTTGATTACATATAATACTTCGGAAGACAATAATGTGGGTAAGTGACTACTCGAAGGACAGGCCAATAGGCTGCCTAAACCGAAGCAAAAGCTTACAACTCAGAAACAATAACCACTTGTGTTCGCTTTGTGACGCTTTATTCGCTTCCCGTGCATAAGAACACAAGGCAAGAAACGACTGATCATCAGTCTTGGTGATGATATTCTATCTTCTCTTCCTTCTTGGCTGGAGGCTAGATTTAGTAACACGGCCAATGACTTCTCTATCCACAAGCAAAACCTGTCAATGCCAGGGCTTGGACGCTTTTTGATTATGCCAGATAATAGTAGAGTGGGATTATTGGGAGAATAGGTGCAAAGGTTGTAGAGTGCGTGAAGGGTGTCCAGCTTGCATTGGTTTTCACGTTTTTTTTCGCCCTGAAGAAGAAGACTGAGGAAAACGGGAATTCCTTGACTTGAGCCATCATGGGCATGGCTTCCTCGAGGCAGGAGAGGTTTAGATATAAAGTAGATGCTGGCCCTCGGGAGTTGGAACGAGAGATCATTTTCTCCACCAGTGGGATGGTCCCTGAAGTCAGCATCAGCTCTTTGTTCCTGCAGTACATCAAAACGAACAAAACAGAAGAGACTATGAGAAGGTTTGCAAACAAAGAGCACAAAAAGTCAAATAGACCAATAGAATCAAATGCTGTCACATCATGGATGCTTTGTTCAGCAAAAGTTATTCTGTTCACCGATAACATAAGCACAGGCACGAGGCTCACATGGACCAGGCAAGGATTCCCCGGGACTGAGCTCAGCCCATCAACTAACGATGCAAAAGTTAATTTCATCAACCAAAGATGCAAAAGTTAATATCATCAACCCCACAGTTTTGGATTCAAATGGCACGAGGAAATGATTTCTTACCGACACGGTAAAAGGTGCAGATTCAATATCACCTGACTAAACAGGAGAAGC